CAGGGGGGTTTTTTGGCTCCATAGCTGTGCTGGGTCAGGCAGCTCGGCCGAGCATCGCTCTGCGGGGTTGCTCTCACCGGGCAGTGCTGACGTGGGCGCTTTCCTTGGCTTCCCTCTTTTTTCCACCCACCATCCATCTTGCAAAAAAAAAATTGTTGGTGCTTAGGCCAGGGTGCCAAAATCTCCGGCTTCCAACGCAAGCTTTGCTGGAGATTTGCTGTGTGCAAACAACTCCCTGCCTCAGTTTCCCTTCTTGCAAAACAAGGTTTAGTATTGTGACGGGGATGTCGGGCAGCGCCTCCGGGCAAGGCTTGGAGCCCAGGGTTTGATTTCCACCTATCTCTTAATACCTATGTTTTTTTTTTTTTTAAATCCCTCCCTAGTTTCTACTTTCTACCAGCTCCTTTTGCAGCTTAATTAGCAATTTAATGAGAAGGAGTTAAGGTGCTGCAGGTGGCTGGGGTGCTGCTGCAGCCCTGCTCGGAGGAGGCGGTGGGAGAAGGCAGCCAGGCATCGCAGCGGCTCCGCTCGCTTCCCCGAGTCCAAGCCCGGCGTCACGGCCTCCTTGGCGTGAGATGTGCCATTAGCAAATAGACCTGTAAAACGAAATGTGAAACTTGGCCCCTTCCCAGCAGCCCGAGCCGGTGAGAACTGTGCTCTGCGCTTGTTTGTTCGTCACTCCCAGGTAAATAAATACTCGCTTGCCAGCGACTCGGGACCAGGGCCAGAGATGGAAGTGATTTTTTTTTTTTTTTTCTTTTTGTGTCTGAAGTTTCTGGGCTGCTATTTCAGGCATAATGAGGGTGATCTGGGCTGCAGAGCCCTTCCTGCCCTCGCCCCGTGTGGCTTCCAGCCCTGAAGGAGGGTTTGAGAGATTTAAGTGCCTCTTTGTCTCCAAACATCTGCTCTCGTGCTTCGATTCCCAAAGCCTGGACCTGGGTGTCTGCACTTTCCGCCCATCCCAGCTGCAGCAGCCTGGGGAAAATCAGGGCAATCTGCAGAGCACAGACACACTGCCAGGGTTTGGGGTGCTGGGGTGCAAACCTGTGCCCCTCAGGTCCCCAAAGCATTTATTTCAGGACTTGAAATGCAGCTGTTGACACAGATTTTAGGAGCGGGTGCTCATTGCTCCCAGCGCTGGTAATCGATGCTCCCCGTGAGCAGCCGGGGGAGAACAGCGGCGTGTTTGCAAAAACCAGCAAATGTCCCCATGGCATGGCCACCGCAGTCCTGCTGGTGCAGGGTGTCTGATGGGCAGGGTGACAAGGGACATGTGGGGGTGTCTGCTCGTGTCCTGGTCTCATGGCGCTGGTGTTCTGCCCGCTCCCCCCTCTCCCTCCCGGCGGGATCCTCTCCTCTTCGGTACAGCTGGGCTCCATCAGTACTTTTTCTCCCCCTGAAGTTTTCCTTCCCAAATTGCACGGCCGTTTCCGATGGGAACACTTGAAATCACGAGTCCAAGAAGTGGACTCACTCCCGGCCTCGTTATTTACCCTGATTTGAAACGAATCCACCAGCTCATACACCATGCCGTGACCCAGTCCCAGCCCTGTCTCCCCTGGACCCCCCAGCGGCGGATGGGGCTGGTGTGGGGCAGGACCATCTCCCAGGGATACTGCTGGGATGGGAGCGGTGTCCCAGAGGAGCCGGGGGACACCAGCCCCTGGGTGACAT